TTTATTTTGGTAACATTTTTATTTAAATCGGAGTCAATTACATTTCTTTTGGATCAAACTGGATTTTTTTGGAGGCCATTTTCCCATTTTTTTAGAGACCATTCGTATTTTTTTGGTGACAATTTTACATTTTTTTGGAGGTCATTTCTATTTTTTCGGTGACTTTTTTCCATTTTTTTAACTACCATTTTCCATTTTTTTTGCCGGCCATTTTTTTAACGTTTTTTTTGAGGCCATTTCCCATTTTTTTGGTGACCATTCTCTTTTTTTGGTGATTTTTTTGCGAGTATCACTTACAGTCGGCTTTCAACGCGACTCGATTTAAGAAGCACCATCTCTTTCACACCAGGTTCTCATATATTTTTTTCTTGCAAATATTTTTTTCTTGCAAAATTGTATAAATTGAATAGGTTTTGCAATAATAATAACGAAAATAATTAATAGAATTTATAATAAATAAAAAAAATTGAAAAAACACAAAAATATTTTATATTATATGATTCACCAGAATAGCTTCACTTCGTGTTGTTTACGTTGTTTCTTTTGACAGATATCAATGTTTGACAAATACATATTTTCTCCACGTAACCATCTCTACATGGTCTACAAGGCAAAGCTACCTCATAACACGAGAACCATATAATAGTTATAAAATATTTGTGTGTTTTTTCATTTTTTTTTATTTATAATAAATTCTATTAATTATTTTCGTTATTACTATTGCAAAACTTATTCAATTTATGCAATTTTAAAATTTTGTTTGCAAGAAAAAAATATATGAGCTCCTGGCGAGATAGAGATGGCGCTTCTTAAATCGAGTCGCGTTCAAATACATTGTCACTATAGAACGTAAGTGACACTCGTTTTTTTGCATTATTTTCGAGACCATTTTCAATTTTTTTGACGGCCACTTGTTCTTTTTTGGAGATTTTTACTATTTTTTTGGAGGCCAAAAAGTTATTTTGGTTACCATTCGATTAAAAAAACTACCAAAAACCATTTTGCCTTATCGTAAAAAATGTAATAAAAAATCGCGTGCTGAGAAAAAATAAATATTTGTGTATTATACACTGTGTATAATAATTATTGTGTATTGTATGAAAGATATTGCCGCACGGCACCGTATCGCACGATCGAAGTCAGTGTAGACGGAAAAAATCACAAATTGCCGTGCGGCAGTAGAAAGAACTGTGTGTATGCGTCAACATGTTTGCCGTCCGCACTCACTTCGATCGTGAGCTACGGTGTCTTGCGGAATATCTTACATATATAGTGCACCGATATAGTATAGATATCGACACTATTTAGTGATATTTCTATATGTTATGGACACACTGCATTTTTTACGATAAGTATAGTAGATTGCCAAATGTCGACACACGACCAAATGTCGGAATACCGAGAGGTGAATTGAAATTAAAAATCGAAAATTCGTTTTAATTGCATTTTTAAAGACAAATTATGAATGATCAAGATCAAATCTATATATAATAATCCAAATATTCATCAAAAACCTATTATTGCTTTCAAAAATTACGTTCAAAAAAAATTCTATATTTTTATCACTTTTTTACGTCAAAAGTTAAACTATATCATTTTTAGACGAGCCGGTAAAATGCATTTTTTTGGTATGAAAAAATAACTACTTTGAAAAAATATTATATCTGCGAATTGTAAATAGTTTAATTTAGTTATTGAACAGAAATATTGAAAATATAAAGAAAAACAATTATATTTATTTTTCATTTTTCACTGTAATAATATTCCGGAATAAATCGTCCAATTGCCGACACATTAAGCACCGAAGTTTCAAGTGAAACACTTTGCATTTGACAGATTTGACAGTTAAAGTCGTATTTGGATCATTGGGAAATTCAACCAAAAATATTATAGATCAGTGAAATAACGTAATATTTTTAAATATTTTTGCCATTTTATTGTGAAAAAAATAAATAAAATTAAATATGCAGCAAAAATATATCAATCCAATAATTTCAACTTCGATATTTTGTATTGTTTTCCTCAATGTAAAGAATGCGTTCCTGAGCTGTCAAAACTTAAAGTTGTTCAAGTTTCGCAGTGAAAATTCATGAAATATGACAAGATTTGGGAGCCGAGAATTGGACGACGAATATCCGACATTTGGAATTTTCGATGTTACGACGGAAAAATGGAAAATAATAATATATTTTTGGAAATTTCTTCCTTTTGACAAGTGTAAAATGAAGCACAATTAAATTCTGCATAGAATTGTGTATAGAATGATATTTTTAGATGAAATCAAAAGTGTTAAATATTAAATTGAAGTTGAAAATTCAAACAAATAGTCCGACATTTGGGCGAGTGTCCATATAGGAAATGCGTATCTGTTTCGAAGTTGCTATTTTATGTGTCGCCATCTATTGATAAATAGTCAAATTACAAATTTACTATTATCTAAGATCCCCTTTATTGAATCCAATTGAATCCATAATAAAAATATAAATACATTCATACACTGTAAAACCGATGGGATTAAAAATTAATATTTTCGGATTTTTTATATATAAAAATCCAAATGAATTTAAAAAAATCCAAAAGCATTAAAATTTAAATCAAAATTATCAAATCTAAACTATCACAAAAATCATGCGTATTGTCCAGCGAACAGTTGTATGGCTAAACTAAAACGGCAACTATATGAAAGTCAACTTCTACACACGCATCACTTCTGCTGGCGAGTCAGTGGAAGCATGTAATATACGAACGACAACGTTGTTTGTGCTTGTAGTAGTAGCCTTCTATGCTGCTGCCGTTGAGTTCAGCCATGCAAAAATACTAAAGAATTGATATTGTCAAAAAAATCATATCTTGGGAATTTTTGACCCCCCGACCCCCTTAAGGGGTGAGGGGACTTGGAGGGTAGGGGTCCTAAAAAATTTCTCTCATCATTCTGAACAACTTTGTAGTACATTATTTTTTGATCCGATGAACTTTTGAAAAATTTGGGGAACCCCCGACCCCCAAAAATTCAAAATTCTGCTCAGATAGAAATTTTCTATTTTTTTATCCCCAACATACTCCCCAAAGAGTTTTTCAAAATTCCCACCCCCCTGGAAAACCCGATTATATGAGACACCCTGTAGGTCCTCAGTTAATATTAGGCTCATCAGAGCAAAAGATTCGAGGATGGGTTCCGCGAAATTCCCATAAAATTGGTCCACGAAATGAGAATATCCTGAAAATTTGACTTTTCCCAAAGATGCCGATTTGCGAAGCATGTCACCGATAAAGGATCTCGTGTCTTAGTTTTTCTAGCTTATAGGCAGTATGAGCAATCATAATAAAATGGTTTTTGAAATATCTAATTCGTTAAAACTTTCAAAATTTATCACAAAAGTTGATTATTTTTTGTTTGAAATTTATTTTTTCACCGAGAGCAAAAGATACTAAAAAAATAAGACGCAATATCTTAACATATTTACATCCGATCCTTACGAAACTATTACACAATATCAATGGGAACTCCACCTTTCTAACGCATATAATATCCAGTAGGTGGCGCCACTCGTATCTATTATTTTTATTCCGGAACTTTTGGAATGGAGGGTGTAGTGTGAGTAAAAAACGTACGAAAAATGAAAAAAATAATTAAATTTTTTTTCTTCAATTCTCAAATACTACTCAATTTTCTATATCACCTGGTGAAATCAGAATGAAAAAAATTGCATTCCATATCATCTAAATCACGATCTGGACTTTTTTCACTGTTTGAGTGCTCTATACCGAGTCTCTGAGAGTTTCATATAAACTTGCTATGTGATGCCTATTGAATAGTAAGCGAATACCAATCGTGATGGAATCAATAGGCGTCATTTGGCTATTGCAAGGCGAGTTTATATGAAACTCTCGGAGAGTCGGTATAGAGCATAAAAAGTGAAAAAAAAAGTCTGATTTCTTTTCTCAATTTTTATGCACAACTGAATGGCCAATATCATCTGGTGCGACTGATTGTAAAAATTAGCTATTTCTGTCACCCAAATCTTTGTTCAATGCTATCTAACTCACCCTTACATGTTATTTCTCAATGCATGGCATTGTGTTTACAAACAACGTTCTATTGACACACAACTGCGCAATAAAAATTGCTAGGGGTTTTTATCTCAATCAAAACACTGTGAATATTGCGTATATTTTGCGTATATTCACTGCGAATATTCGCAAAATACGTACATTCAATGCATTATTCGTAAAATATGCATAGTATATGTACCATCTAATAATATATATTCGCGAACAGATAAATTCCCCTAGAAAAATTGCTGATACAATCCATTTGATTGTTTATGAAATTTGAGAATAAGAAGTTTTTTTTTTCACTTTTTGTGTGTTCTATACCGAGCCTTCGAGAGTGTGAAATATTTATATCGTTATACTGCGTCGCATATCAAAGCGAAACAAAATTCTGTTACTAAAACAAGGCAAAACAGTAGCTAGTTATCAGCACAAAATGAAACTTACACATTTTGTATAATAAAAAGTCAATGTTCTCTATTCCTTTGGTAACGAAATATTGTCTCGCTTTGATATGCAACCGTTTTGAGTCGCGTTTCGATATGCGAGTAAACAATAAGTTGTTTTCATTCTAGGGCGTTCAGTTATCGGAAGCCATCTAACATATTGCGTGTGAATCGTTTGAAAGATGAGGATGTGGCTCGTGAGTTTGTTGCTATTATGGATGAAAAGTTTGCAGATTTGAATGAAAATGTAGGTGATATTGAAACAGAGAAATACTATTCTAGGGTTATGGTTAAGAAAGCAAAAGAGGGACATTGGGTGAAATTCGGAGAGGATTTAGAAGAAGCCGGACAGCAGCGGAACAAGGTATTCTGGACCAAGGTAAAGAATATCAGAAATGGAGGCAAAAAACAAGCACCGGGAGCAGTCTTGGACAACACAGGCAATCTAGTTATTTGCAAAAACAACATACTCAACCGATTTTAGAAAAGCGAACCAGAGCTATTGTTGAACAAGATCATGTTTTCGTTTTGAGACAGCTGATAGAGAAATTCCATGAGAAAAATAAGGATTTGTTTTGTGTTTCGTGATTTGCAAAAGGCTTATGATTGTGTACCAAGATCTAAGTTGTGGTCGGTTTTGTCCGAATACGGAATAAATGGATTTCTTCTTAGAGCGATTAAGAGTTTGTACGCAAACAGTAAATCAGCAGTACGAGTGGATGGTGATTTGAGTGATTGGTTTGAAGTGCGTAATGGTCTCAGACAGGGCTGTACAATTTCACCGCTTTTGTTTGTTATTTATATGGACAAGCTAATGAAATCAGCAAATTTGGGGGTAACGTTGCCTTAGGGGGTAATATAATTTCTGCTTTAGCGTATGCAGATGACCTGGTACTCTTCGGCAGTTCTGAACAAGAGCTGCAGGATAGTGTTGGAGATTTACGAGCGGCCTGTACAGACTTTGGAATGACAATTAGCAGTTCGAAAACTCAGGTTATGCATGTGGGTAAAACTCGTAAAACTGTTCAGTGCGAACTAAATGGAAATTTGCTTGAACAGGTATCACAATTTAAGTATTTGGGTTGCATCTTCTCCGAAGATGGCAAACTTGATAAAGAGTTTGAACACCATTTCATGCAGTGCTAAAAATTGCAATGTATCACATTAGATCGTTAAAGAAAACAGTGTTATAATTGGACACCAATCACAAGTTAGAAAAATGATCATCGCTTAAGGCTAAAAGTCGATTTTTGAAAGTTGATCTTTTTGATTGCGTTGAAAATAGTTCGTGGACCTTATTTGACAGTCAACATAACATTGTTGATGATATTTTATTTTATTTTATTTCATTGTTTAAACAGTTTTCTATCGAGTGTTATACGTGCGCGCGTTCTGTGTGAGTACTGTTAAGTGTGAATATATAAACATCAAAACTAAGTCATCTGCACTTTTCTACTACTATTTGACCTATATGGAATTATCTGGAATTATTTTTGTACTAGATGGAATTATATGAATTACGATGTAATAGTGGTTTCCCCCATGGTTTGGATAAGATGTTTCTTTCAGCAATTCACTCTCGGTTTTTATTACCTTCCGTCTACCTATGTTGTCAACTTTACTGCCCAAATTGTACTTCACACTTTGTTAATTCTACTGCCCATTTTGTTAAATTTACTACCCAGTTTGTATTTAACCTTCTCCTTTATTCTCGCTTGCTCCATTGAGTATTGTCGTATTGAGTTTGATTAAATCGTTTTCGTGTTATATGAAATTCGGATGCTAGAATCGATTTAGCTCGGTTATAAAATTGCTCGAGGAGAGCTTTACATGAATGTATGTAAGAATTAGGTATGTAAGGATTAGGTATGTGTGTATGTTTTTGACATGCATCAAAATTCAATGCAATAGAATGGAACTAAGAGTAAAACTTCGGCTGCGGGCAATCCAAGTGAAACAAAATTCGACTTTAAAAACTTTTTAATGTTGTTCAATGTTGCTTTAACCGCTATTTTCTATTCTGATTGCGTCAAAATACATATTCCTTCCAAGCCGAATATTGCGTTAAACATATATTTTTCTACATGCTACGACAACGCCATCTCTGTTTCCCCATGTGTGTAGAGTATGTTCAATTGTTCAATATTGACAAATCATTCAAACGGGTCAATTTTGTACCGCAAAAATAGCTGTCATCGTGAAAATATGTCAACAATATTATTCATTGAAATTTTTGAAATTGACTGTGCCGTGTTTATTTTTTAAAACAATTTTCAAATGCATATTTCTGTAAATCTAATTTCAAAGTTTTAAAATATTTGTACAATTCTACATAAATAATATTTTAAATTTTTTAAACTGAAAGGAAATTTTCAGCATAGAAACAGCTTCTGCTGCAAGACCAAAGATGTCGTTTTCGGGGGAGATTCGTGTGACGTTTTCATATAAAACATATAGCGCATTACTCGGTTATTCCTTCCTAATACGGATTATTTGTAGATAGTGTTCCTGAATGAGATATTCAAAGTTCGCATATTTTGGATACCGATGTTTTTTCTTCAAAAAAAAAGTATAATGTGTGCGTATTTCGGCTCAATAAAAATGTTCCATGAATTTAGTCCTCAAAAATGTATATCTTTATTTCAATTTCACAGATGGGTTAAAACGAGTTATATGTTTCTATGCTCATTTCATCACAAAGCCATATATGCAATTATGCATACACGTATACATAAGTACGTGGATATGCGAACGTATGTTGATAATTTTACACGCGAGACAAAAAAATGAAATAAAACGTACCGAAAAAGCTCGAAAGAACAAAAAACCGGCATAAAAAGAAAAAACATACATTTGAATTCTCTAGAATAAATACAGCTTATGATACGGTCGCACACCAAAGGTTGTTTTTAGATACATTTTTTGAAATGCAACCTTTTCATACGCTGTTTTTATTCTATAGCAATCATTTATGTATGGAAAGCAATTGAAAGCAATGTCGCCATGAAATAAAAAGCAGGAAAAACATATATAGAAGATAGAGCATTGTTTGTTTGCACAAAAAATTGTTATTCCCATTTTCATTGGCCCGTGCAAATGGTATACAAATCGATGTGATGAGAACTTGAACACTTGTATAGCAAAATTTGATGTAAGAACAGCGTTTCTATCTGTATTAGTTTTGTTTTATGTGTTTTCTGTATAAACATACATCGTTGTGTGGAATTTACTTTATTATATTCCACTTGTGTTCTCTTCTTTCGATTTAAAGAATATTGATTTTATTATGTGTCAGCTGTCTCGTTTTCCGCTCACATTACATTTTTGTTATTCAAATCCTCTGTTCACAATTTTAGATGCATTCATTGGTGTAACTAATAAATAATAATTAATAAAAATTCTTATTAGTTAGTAGATTTTTTCCATTAGTACTTTATTATTTAGTAATTCTTAGTAGCCACTAAGAAGTAATAATTATTATTTTACTAGCTACTAACAACTACTAATTATTAGGTCTTAGTAGATTTTTTATTAGAATTTTAGTAGATTTTTTATTAGAATGTTAGTAGATTTTTTATTAGAATGTTAATAGAAATTTTATTAAAACGCCTATTGATTCAATCACGATTGGTATTCGCTTACTATTCAATAGGTATCACATAGCAAGTTTATATGAAACTCTCGGAGACTCGGTATAGAGCACTCAAACAGTGAAAAAAGTCCAGATCGTGATTTAGATAATATGGAATGCGATTTTTTTCATTCTGATTTCACCAGGTGATACAGAAAATTGAGTAGTATTTGTAAATCGAAGAAAAAAAATTTAATTATTTTTTTCATTTTTCGCGATGATTAGGTGGTTTTTCCGTTTGGTGTGCCAGAATAGCTGTTGGGTTTACTTTAGGAGAAAAAAAGCACATTTTCAACCAAATTGAGAATTTTTTTGCGCTGTGTAGAGGGATTCATAATTAATTAGCCAGGCTTTATTTCCCAAATTTTTTATTCGTTTTGGAGACATCAATGTGTCAGAAGAAAATTGGGAGTAGTACGAAAGTTGCTCTGGTCGACTATATGGCCCATTGAATGAAAAACATTATCCAAATACTATTTTAAATGGTCTGGAACATCTTAATATATAAGAACATATTAATTTTATTGAATTATCATTTTCCGCATAAATATGTCCGAACATATAGACCCGACAGTTATTCTGGAAAATCCTGTACTATTTTTTGGTATTATATGTAGAATATGATATGATAAAATAATATTATTATATTAAACTCAAGCCGAATATTGCGTTAAACATATATTTTCCTACATGCTACGACAACGCCATCTCTGTTTCCCCATGTGTGTAGAATATGTTCAATATTGACAAATCATTCAAACGGGTCAATTTTGTACCGCAAAAATAGCTGTCATCGTGAAAATATGTCAACAATATTATTCATTGAAATTTTTGAAATTGACTGTGCCGTGTTTATTTTTTAAAACAATTTTCAAATGCATATTTCTGTAAATCTCATTTCAAAATTTTAAAATATTTGTACAATTTTACATAAATAATATTTTACATTTTTTAAACTGAAATGAAATTTTCAGCATAGAAACAGCTTCTGCTGCAAGACCAAAGATGTCGTTTTCGGGGGAGATTCGTGTGACGTTTTCATATAAAACATATAGCGCATTACTCGGTTAATAAACTCAATATACCAACATTTTAAACTTTTTTCCATAAGAAATATAATTTGTTTGGTAGTTTTCTCCAATTAGCCCTAAACAATTAGCCCCAAAAAAGAAATGTTGATTTTGAGCTTGCGAATTGAGCACTGATTTTAATTCCAACGCTATTCAGTGACACTAATTGGGCACTTATTTTCTGAACCATTTTTAGATATAGTGCTGAATAGACTGTCCCCCAAACCACAAAAGTTGAAATTTTTTCGCTCTTACCTCGGAATACTTTTCCAAATTTTTCGATTAGGTGATAAATATCTTTTAAAGCAGTTTTCTTTAAAAAAAGTGCACACTAAAAAATCAAACATTTTACATATAGATATGAATTAAATGGCTCTGAATGTAATATTTCATGATATTCTATTGAATGTCACTTTCGGTTCTTCATAAAATGATCCATTTTATATTGCGACTTGAAAACATATACCTTCACCTCGGCCAGTATAGCAATGCGCAAATCAGGCCAGAACGCTTTCGAACAACATTGACATTGTTTTTACAGTCAAAATTGATTGAATTCAGTCATTGAAATAGGTTTAGAAGTGAATTATAGTTCAGATAAATCATGTTTCATATTCATATTTTGGCCCCACGTTCATTGCTCACAATTTTCTATGCAAATGACAGTTTTCCAGCTGTACGATGCGTTGAAATGGGTGTATACCAAAGTGGAATCACATTAGTTTTGGTCTGAAAGTATTCTAACTTCAAATGAGATTAATTTGTGGGGGTCTGTTGTACTTTTGTTACAAAACCTTCATTTTTGGTGATGAAAATTTTGAATGAAAATGTGTTTTTTTTTTT